GTAATGCACATTAAAGGAAGTGGTAATGTGCCTGCCCATTTAAAGGCCAAAATAGCATTATCGGCAAAAACATGTAGTGTATGGTGGAATGCTTTTCTCCCCTAATGTTCTTTCTGCTGCGGCAGAAGTCTTATCTTAAAAAGTAATTTTATATTTCATTGAAAAAAATGACTAAGAAAGGTTAATGTTATTGAAAGACAAGGAAACCATTGGAGAGATGTGAAAACACCCGAAAAGAATGAAAATAATCTCAGTAGCAAGTTGAAATTTATAAAATGGCAAGCTAGAAACGCAAACGACCAAGAGTAATTTGAGTATGTCAATTTGACTGTGTCGTAGACAAAACTGAGAAATACCAAGTTGAAGATGGTAGGTAAGTTCCTTGTCAACACAAATTCAGAAAATTTATTAGACCCTATTGATCGACTTGTGAATCAAGTGTACACAAATTAATATAATGAAGATAATTGGAGAAGTTTGAACTACAATGATTCTTGTATATCGCAACCTGAATAATTTTATTTAAGAATCAAAATTTTGACAAGAAGCACCAAGATTTAAAGGTTTTGGATTCAAATCTCCCCATCTCCTAACCCCACTTCTTAAATTCCTCACCTTCTCTGCTAATATATATATATTTTTTAAATCTTGACAAGAAGCTATAAGCCATTAGGGCTATTCAAACTGAATTGGAAAACCGAAAAATTTGACCCAACTCGAAAATATTGGGTATCCAGTCCGCTTTCGAGAGAGGGACAAGTTATGGTTGGGATACTAATTTAGAAGGTTGGGTCATGGTTCACATAAAAAAAAAAAAAAAAAGACTACCTTCACATATAAGGGTGAATTTGTAAATTTGTTTATTAAAACTAAAATTAATAGGAAAAAATCTAATCATCTTTCATCAAGTTTTTTATATTTGAGATAATGTACTTTATTATTTTAGTTGATAAAATTTTGGTTTAGTGGCTAAGTTTGAAATCTCAGCACTTACACGTCCTAAGTTCAAATCCCTCTTCACTCCCTTCACAAAATTAAAATAAAGTGTACTGAAAAAAAATTTTTCTCTCCACTTTTTAAATCCCATACTCTCCTAATTTAAAAAATTAAAATAAAGTGTATTGAAAAAAATTTCAACACTAAGGTTGTTAAGTTGTTAAATTTGTCAATTATATATTTTTTTATTTTTTGTTGTAAATAAATATTATTTTAAAAACTTGTTTACTCTGAATATGTGAGGATTGATGATTAAGTGGTCATTATTGATGAATGATGTATTAATAATGAAGTTTTTTAGACTTTTAGTTAGTTTTTAATTATTTATTATTAATTTTTTAACTTAGATGTTCGATCGTGTACCTGCAAGTTTTCTGAACTAGTAGTGTGTCGGGTACTCGACCATTGGAATAGTTACCCTATAGTTTCAAGGCAGCTATAGTTCGATTTTTGGTCGAACCGCTAGGACCGAATCGGGTCACACATTTGTTACGCCCAACCCGTGAACACCCGCGTGAGATATTGAGAGAATTTTCCGCGAAAGGAAAAAACACAGATTGAGAAAAAGAACCATCGATAGAACTAAAGCCTTATTGTCAATCAAGGACGCTTTGGCCTTGCACTTAAATTCCTTGTCTGTCTTCTGACAATTCTATTTAATTGCCACTTTCTTCGAAAAATTAAAAGGGATAATTTCAGAAACCTCCCTTTGAGGTTTTTAACAATTTCATTTAGCTCCACTTAGGTTTTAAAAATTACATATACCTCCCCTATCATTTAAAATGATAATACTACCCTTAAATATGTTAATGAAATTCACTTATTTGATATGTTTATACTTAGAATGACTATTAAAATTATTTTTTTATTCTTTTTTCTTCTTATTCCTTTTTTTAATTTTTGGCCAATAAAACTGTAGGACTACTACTATTATTTCTAGTTTCTACTGTAACCAAATGTCGAAGTAGTGATTTTTTTGATGAATTAACTTTATATGCAATCCAATGTTTTTTGCTGATCTTTGTTTTCTTTTTTTTTGGTATTAAAATTAATAATAAGTCAAAAACAATGGCTCAAAACCACTACTAAATAATGATAATCCCACTACTCGAAAAATTCATAAACTCTAAATGAATTATTTTAATATTTTCTTTTCTATCTTATAAATTTAAATCCATAATAAAATACCATCAAAAGTATTCTATCATAGTGATAAAATTATTATTATAATTGTTTATCAAATAGTAGGTATGGACATGAAAAATTTGGCGACGTTTCTTATAATTATACTAGATAATCTTATAATTGTATAGGAAAGTAAATTAAAAATCATTAGACAAGGGTATTTTTGGATATTCATTTAACAATTTTACCAAGTCAATATTATTTTAAAGTCTTGTTACTAAAACTATCAAATCAAGGGAGGTAGGTGTAATTTTTCAAATCTCAAAGGATCTTAGTGAAATTGTCAGAAATCTCAGGGGAGCTCATTAAAATTATCCCAAATTAAAAGCCAAAACAAAGCAGTTGTGTACAAACAAATACAATACGCCAACTGCATAAAATCAAACCTTTTCTAAATAGATATCTGTATATTAGCATGGTAAGTTGGTCCAACTCCAACTCTAACAAGTACTCATATGATGTTTCTCCCCATTCCTCAAAAAAAAAAAAAAAAAAGAAGAGAGAGAGAGACATATATATATATACTTGTATCTCTATTCCTAGTAGCCAGCCCATCATAATTCATATGACACTCGAGCCCTATGGCCTATTCCATTTTGGTGTAGTGAATGAAAAGATGAATATTTCGGCCGCAGCCGGGGAGTAGGTTTCACTTGGCCACGTCTGTTGATCTCTTTATTTCCTGTGCTTGGTGGGGTTGAGGGGCTATTGGTGCAGACATGGTGACTGCCACTGTCTAGGGAAATCTTGATGATTTTATGAGCCCCCGATTCTTGAAGGCAAGAAAACATTGGAATCTTAGCAAAAGAACAAATCACAAAATTATGCAAAGCCCTCCTCTCGTTCCCATGTCGCGTCGTCTATCTATGATAACTTGGGAGAACGTACAAAGGAAACATGAAAAGTAGATCAAGATTTTAGCTAAGGTAACATGTTTACGGAGCTGACCCGAGAGACAAACCAATGCGATTGAAATTCGGTACGATTCAATTCGATTATTGTATTTTTTATACTACTTGACGGAGAATTATGTTACATTATTGTATTTGAAATAAAAGTGATGGAAGTGTATAAAATATTTAACACTTATTCAATACAATATTATGATGTATTTATACATCAAAATTTTGAACATGTACAATGATGAAATGAAATCACGCAAAATACAATTGAGTTCTTGTCCGAGCTCACCGCAATGATCTTTTCCTCTTATTTTTTTCCCCTTTTCTTTTTGGGTTTCTGTCATGGTTTTTAATAGTAGAGAGGGACCCAATTTTTTATTCAAAAACAGCTTTTGGCAGCCACAAGATCTAATGTGAAGTCGTGACCTTTAATATATAAGGAAGGCTTGGTGTTTGAACGCCATCCATTCATCTGCATATATCGGATATGTTTCTCTGCCCATAATACCAAGAAATAGTACTGTATGTATTCAATCTTTGAGGCTGTATTTTCTTCTTGTAAACTATGTTTGATCAGGCAAGAAAATGGATGACACGATTTCCTAAATAAATATACATGTGTGTGTACAGTGAATTGGGGGAAGGTAATTGTCTCTAATACGTATTCCTTTTGGCGTTCACTGTTGAGACTCATCTTAATACTGGAGTTAATAGACTAGTGTTTTAATTACATCTATGGCTGCCATGTGATTGCAATATCTATTGGACCAGAATCTTTTTTTTTTTTTTTGGAAGTAAGTGGATCGTAACCTAATCCTTTGTTAATCAAAGGCTCCCAATTTAGGTAAGTTAACAATCAATATGGATGAAGCAAATATAGACATCGAAAACTGTAGTATTTATTAGTTGGTTATATCAAAGACAACAGCTTGAAATTTCCTTCTACACAATAAAGGAAATATATTATTTAGTCCTAGTTTTTTATCATCATTATTTGGAAACTAATAGTGCTTACTTTCAATTTTTTTTTTTTTTTTTTTTGTATTAGTGGATGTACGAATTGAATAAACTTAAGCTAGAAGTTTAAACTAATTAAGTCAGATTGCGCAAGTGATGGAAAAGTTTTTTTTAAAAAAAAAGCAATAGGAAATTAAATCAAGAATGGATGAACAATTCAATCTGTTGAAGTTGTTGTGGTCCAGAGAGTACGCAAGATAATTGGGAGGTCGATGAGTGGAGAGCTGACTTCTTTTAAGGTTTCTGAATCTGACTGGGTATTTTGTTCGTGGATGTTGCTAGCTAGCTAGCTGCAATTGTCAACTTTTAATTGCTCATATGGATTATTGCAGCAATGCAATAATTACTTTTACTGCCCTAAACACCAGAATATATATATATATAACACAGAAAACCCACATCATCTACAGTTCCAATTCCCACAGAGTCGATCACTAACAAAAGAAAAAATCTACTGCAACTTGTTATTAAGGAGTTGAAAAGCACTGAGAAGACATATGAATGTATGGAAATACAATAGAGTACAGCTAAATGCTAGCTTGTACCGCTAGTGCCCAGTTCCTGTGAGCGTGTGCCGTTTTTATTGGAAAGCTATTGCTACCTCAAACCTCCGAAGAAAAACCTCAGAACCCTAAACAAAATGTACCAATCCAACCGCGACTTCCCCACGCTTTCAATATTTCACCTTTTTGAAGTTTTTTTGTCACATATCCGATCATGTCTTTGCCCTTATATATCAAACTTGATCATCCCACCCCTAACCCAAATAGTCCTTCACCATGCCCCCCCATCCCACAAGTATACACGCACTCACACACTAATAGACTACATCTACACCTACACATATATATATATATTCTAATTATGGCTGACCATCCACATCTTTCCAACGTGCCCCCATTAGCCCAAGACAAACTTATCCAGCCTACCCAAGAAAAACCCTTCAACCCCATTTACTCCTCCTCCTCTACTCTTCCCCCCCCTCCTCCACCACCTCCAGCTCCACCACCAACCGCTACTCCTATAATTCTACAACACGGCCCAAAATCGCCACATTTCTTATCGATCAAGAAAAATGAAGCTACGCGATCTATAGCGAATGTTAGGCTTCAAGCACCGAGTACAAAGACAACAATGAGTTCTACATCTTCCAGTGGCTCGCCGAGCCGTCCCTCAGGTGGAAAGCACCCAATGTACCGTGGAATAAGGAGCCGGAGCGGCAAATGGGTATCGGAGATTCGCGAACCACGTAAAACTACACGTATTTGGCTAGGGACTTACCCTACACCGGAGATGGCGGCCGCGGCCTATGACGTGGCTGCAATTGCCTTAAAAGGTAGTGATATTGTACTAAACTTTCCTGATCGTGTTAGTTCCTACCCAGCCCCAGCCTCACCTTCTCCGTCTGATATACGCAGCGCGGCTGCGGGTGCTGCTGAGATGATGAAGGAGAAAACTGCAGGTGGTGGACATGATGGTGATGATGATGGAAAGTTTCCTCATGATCAAAACCAGCCTGGATCAAGTGATCATCAAGAATTAGCATTTGATCAAGATAGAGGCTTGGCTGGAGAAGATGAATTCATTGACGTAGAGGCACTGATTGATATGCCTAATTTGCTTGTGGACATGGCCGAGGGAATGCTAGTGAGCCCACCAAGAATACACTCTCCGCCATCTAGCGATTCGCCTGAACATTCTGATGTTGATAGCCTATGGAGCTATTTTTGAATAATCTGATCAAGCTTTCCAAAAACTTTTCTATTTGGTAGTGATAATCTAGGATTGAAGAAAACTACACCACGGGTGATTGTGAAAATGAACGTGATATATAGCTTCTAGTAATGCGTATAACAATCCGGGTAGTACAAGACTCTTGCTTTTCTGTTATTCACATCATCAGGATGCATGATGTTTTTTAGTGGAAATTAATAAGGTTTGATCAAACAGCAGCAAACGTTTGATCCTAAAGCCGAAAAACAAAAAGTGCAGAATGGGTTTTGAGAGTGAAAATGAAGTTATTAGTCATTTTTATACATTTGTGTTTAATAGTACAGTTGAATTCAATTGAATCAGCTGACTCTTTTCCTTTTTTTTTTTTTTTTTTTTGGGCCCTCTTTTTCTTCTCTGAATCTCTGATACAGTTTCAGACACATTAACGTGTTGTGCAGCTTGGTTTCTTAATTGAAAGATAATACATATGTCCTGTAACACACGCCTGCAGTACAAGCAGTGTATGTGCAGGAACTCTCTCAGTCTGATCGTGTCCTGACTTCTCTGCATCAACCAACCAGACTGTAGTATAGTAAATTCTGTGGTCTAAGGGCCAGGATTCACTTTTTCCCTTTCCTTTCTCTTTACCCTTTTAGTTCCTTTTATGTAAGATCATGGTACCACGAATTTTAAGCAAGCTGAGAAACTGGCCAGGACCACCTTGTTTTGATCCTTTTCTTTTGCACTCCTTCTCAGATGTATACTAATTAGAAAATGATGATGTCATGTTGTGATCGAGCATCAGTCTTCAGTAGATCAGCAGCATATTTTCTTGCCAAACCGTTGGTTAAAGCATTATAAAATTTGAGATGTGCAAGTAAAGAAATATGACCATTTTTATGTAAGATATTGGAGTGAAGGAAAATGTCACCACCATGAAAGGGATATAATACTATTCACCTACTGTGGCAGCAGACATATTGGCCAAACCGCTTGATATGATCTAGTGATCTTTTAGCAGAAGTATGGGATATAGACGTTAGAACCAAGCGTCATGTTTTTGTAGAACATTTTTTGATGGGGATAGAATGCTTACATCCGACTCAGGTGGTGGGTTGGTCCGTACTTCAACTGTTGAAGGGGGTCGTGAGAGACAATAAGGAGCACAAAATCCCCACTAATGGTCGCTTTGCCTACCTAGAGTTGTTTTCGCCTTTTTGGTTATTGTGCATGTTTCACACAATTTTATCCAAAAGTACTTGCAAAATCTTACCTCCCACACCTTCGATTCGATTGGCCTTTCCCCCTTTTTTTTGGTTCATCGATGCAGACTCTACTTTGACAAATTCAATGGATTCTGAAACTGATTATTTCACTTTTGATCGAAACCCAATTCGGAAAGGAAACAAAAATGATTGGTAAATTTCTAGACAGTTAATGCTCCAACCTTTTAGATGATCGATATGGAGTCATCTTGTGGTATGCAGAAGAACACTTGCAGTGCATTAGGAACGTTTTGAGATTTTATCACGCGGAGGTAACCAAATTTTGATTTTTGATAGGCCAAACCAAATTTTGGCATCAATGCAATGAATTGATGGAGACAACAGAAACTACGACATTGCAAAAAAGCAGCCAAAACAGTGAAAAATGTATAGGGAGTGCAAAATACAAATGCTTGCGCAGCCAACGTGTTTGGAAGTTTCAAGCCTCCAATTCATCTGGTCATCAGTTTGTTTTGGAGGCAAATAAGAAGATGCTTAAGGCCATAACTGGTCTGGGTTCTTTCCTGGTTGTATTTTGAGCATTTGTAAAATCAGACAGCAGTATTTTGAAACTGATTAAACTATGATTTGTAGGCACCTTTCTATCTCTCTTGCATATACATAACGCATCACAAAAAGTGATACAATAATAATATTAGCTCAAATAATTTTGTCTAAATAATCTAGCTCCTGTTCAAACACACTCGATCGATAATATCTCGTTTTTTTCCCCAGGGACGAATAGGCATTATTGTTCTTGCTAACAGAGAAGACTTTTTGATGTACTAAATTCAAGTGTCTTTGACTCTGTTGCGAACACCGCATATGTTTAGTGTCCTAACGCCAATTATTTTAAGAACATATTCCTAAATTCGGTATAGAATTAAATTCAACTACCGTTGAACAAATTTCCCCCCTCCCTAGCTGGTCTATATGAAGAACAGAAGCTAGGGATCGAATAAAATCGTTGACAGTTAGTTAGGTATTCGGTGGTTCCTAATTTTTAATAGCTGAAATAATGGTCAATAAAGCAAGTCATCAAAAACATACTGCTCGTTACAAATTGAATTTTTAATAGACAAAAGGAATCTTTACAGAACTCCATTATTAACTTTAGGGTTTTTTTTTTTTCCATCTTCTTAATCACTGGATGGTAATAAACATGTTCTTCTGCAATATACTAATAACTTTACAGAACAATATGGATTTCAGAAAGTTAAAGAAGTTAACAAGCAACATAAGCCGCAGCTCCCTTTCTTCAGTTTTTTTCCCTTCATGTTATAGAACCATTTACATGCAGCAATGAACTTTTAGATGGGTACGCAAGAGATTTTGAGAAAAGTTCGTAACTGGAAGAACTTAAATGTCTTCCATTAAAAAAAAAAAAGAAAAAAAATAGTAGATCATTGGTGTGTCCACCTTTCTCTTTTTTTTTTCTTTTCTCAGCTGATATATCATTGAAATTGGAAATTAGTTGAGCTATGTTTCGCCATCATCTTCAACTATATATGTGAACCATATAAAAATGCATGCCTAGGCTGAAACAAGAACGCTCGTTAAATAAAGCAAACATCCTTTTTATTTCAGTGGAAAAGAAGATCTGATTTGAAGAAATGGCACATGAAAAAGTAGCCGTAAATCGATCGACGGTCGACCCTAAAAAGTCATTTTCATTTTTTTAACACTTGTTTCCAGTCAAACGGGACATCAATGTTAAAAATCAAGCTCTTTTAGTCAAGATGGAAACGTTTTGATTCGTGAAATCGAAAAAACAAAGGGTGTCTGCCCTCTGGTGGGGCTTTGTCTGATACAGAATCTCATAGTAGCAATCGAAGCCGAAATCTTCTTCTCTTTGAATGATTAAAGCTAGTTTGACCATCAAAATCCACATCATTGGCCGACATAACCCTCCTTAATTTGCACTCCTCTTCTCCCTTAACAACATAGATTATCGGTTTCTCCTTCACATTACTTCTGGGGTGATTTCTTCCTTTGTGTCCAAAATACTGTAAATTACGTGTATTTATTGTGTGGGGCATCTTGTTTTAGTGTAAACATAGTACGTATGCTTTTACGCACTGGTCATAGACATCGTGCTGCTTTTGGCCTCCAAGCCCAGCCATGATAGCAACCGGTTTCTAAGATTAAAGAGTACTTCCTTGGCGCATCCAATTGCTTTTAATGTACATTTCTTTCTTTTTTTCTCTGAGAAAAAGATCATCATGGTCGTGAAGAGATTTTTCCAGAGCTTCAAAAGAAAGAAAGTACTATATTGAATTTTTAGTGAGGCTATTCAATGAAAACTATGATGCATTAGAATGAGGCTATTCAATGAAAACTATGATGCATGAAGGAAAGAATCTTAAATAATGCTCGCACATGAAAACCCATATGTAAGATTCCCACTCCTAAAAAACGCGTAAGCAAACCAATATGACACATACAAGCACAGAAAGTTAGTTTTTGGGAACAAGAATATTTGAGATATTTTTACTGTATGTAAAAATTATCACAGTTGTATTATTCGCTCTAAAACTTGTGCACTTAAAATATATACTACTAATATAATATGCCACTCTAGGGTCTGATATTTATATAAGAATTAATTTTATCTACACTGACAGTGTATACACTTTCACCATTAGATACATGACACATGTATAATCCGAATTTGAATGTTAAACTCAAATTTTGCATGTGTGTCGTATATCCAACTGTGATAATATATATACCGTCAGTGTACATAAAATTTACTCTTTACATAAACCGTATCCAAATCAGAATCTTAGCCTTAAGATTAAAAAAAACATAAGCCAGCTAATGATATCTATCTTTGAAGATTATTATATGCCCGTAGGGCATTTGTGTTGCAAGACATGAGACAAAAGTTCTTGAATTATAAATTAATGCCTCGAATCTGGATCCCAGAAAAGGAAAAAAGACTGTACAAATCCAATGAGTATATTAATTTCTCTTTACACGACATATTCCAATTTGGGAAGCTGACGGCATTAATTTATATAAGCTGAACTACCCAGTTGACGAAAAAAATTAATCCATATAGGTTTGAAAGGTAATGAGGACGTAATATTAGAATTTAAAATTCGTAGCTTAGGGCCATATATAGGTAGTCGAATAGATAGATGCATTTAACTTGGGTGGTTTAGCACTCAAATTACAGAAGATTTGTCAAGGCACGGCGCCGAGGGTCCAAGCATCCAATGCGGTTGACACTTGCAATAAAATAAGATATGCTACTGCTTTGTTTGGTCTTTATAATATTAGAAATTGTCACTATTCCCTTTTTTTCATATAGTTGTCAATCATATGGGCTTATTCTTTAAAAAACCGGAGGCTTTTTTGGCACAACACAATAGTACTCTTATGATGGTCGACCAAAGATGTCTCCCAAGTTAGCCAAATCATTATGTTCTTATGGTTTGGTGGCTATAATTGTTATCCCTTTTACTTTAATTTTACCTTTTTGGAGTGTTCGTCATTTCCACAAGTCATTCTTTTGAATTAGTTTTCTGAAATGCATTGAAACATTGCTATTTTGGGGGGTTGGGGGGAGCAACTCCTAGCTGTACTCGTGGTTGATGAGGATTTGGACTTTCAAGAAGAATATGATATATGTGGAATCATGGATGCTGTATTTCTTACTTTTCTATGCTCTTTTACTTTATTCTCAAGTAAAAGAAAATGGCGAAAAACAAATGGATGATCATCCTAATGGTTCCTTTTTTTTTTTTTTTTTTTGGGGGGTTCTCATGCACTAGTTAAGTTGACTGCCACTTGCTAATGAATCACCTTGGTATTTATTTAGCTGAATTCGACTCCACGAAAATTGAAGTCAATTCGAATTTAAATGTTTGACTTGTGACTGCGTCCAACCTCAGATTCACATACATGGTCCTATTTGACTAATGCCTAAGGGCCTGTTCTCGTTTGCTTATAGGTCTTAAGGAGTCATAGTTAAAAGGTAATTATGGATAAAGTTAATTTTATATGTACTGATATATGTATACTATTATCGTTGGATGCATAATACATGTGCAAGATCTCGATTTCAAATT